AATTTTTACTATAAATAGTAAAATTAAATAATATTTAAAAAGGCATGACATCTTAACAAATCAATTTTGTAACATAGTAAGTTATTTTAGAAGGCCTAAAAGTCCAATATGGGTGATTTAGTAGCCCAGAATGGACCATTCCCAATCTGGAACGAACCGTTCCAAACTACTAAATTGACCTGTAAATCGTAGTTGAGTACGAGCCGTTCTAGAGGGAGTACGGGCCATTCTGGATAAATCCCAGAACGGGCCGTTCTGGTTTCAGAACGGGCCGTTCTGCATGTGATTTTTGTACGTGATGAAGGGGTGCAGAACGGGCCGTTCCGGTTTCAAAACGGGCCGTTTTGGCCACTCCTAAACTTCTATAAATAGGGGTTGTGTGGTTGAGGAGAAAATGAAGTTTTTATAGAGAAGTTTTAGAGAGAAGAACTCTGGGTCTGTGAACTCCTTTCTCTCCCAAATTTCTCTGTATGATTCCTTTTCTCCTCTAGATCACTAATGTCTTCTATCTTTTCTTGAAATTCAGATTAGGAAGCTTGCTTTGGGAGGATTGAAGTTCCGGGTTGAGCTTCAGAAGGAAATTCTACTTTTTCTCAGTTATTGGCTATTTTGAGCCAATCTTCAGGTGATGGAAGCTAAAATGTTTGTTGTTTAAGTTGCATGTGAGTTTAGAAACTCAATTGATGCATGAAAGTTGAGGATCCATGGCTGGATCGGAGAATTCGCTCATTTTTCAAGGTTTTGAGAAAAATGGGGTTTTTGGTGAATTTGATGCATCAGATGGGTGCATGTTGATTTTGAGTTTGTTTTGTGTTGTATGGAGCCTATGCATTGTGTTTTTGTGTTTGCATATGGTTGGATTTGTTAGTTTGGATGAGAGTTTTGAACTCTATGACTGGATTAGGCTAGGCGTAAGTTGAGCGCGCCAAGCGTGGAAGAACTTAGGGCTCTCGGGTTGGATGTTGGGTCAGGCGTGATTTGGTTGCATCAGGCGTGGAGACTCTTAGGAGTCTCTGTCTCAAGGACACCGAGCGTGGGTTGAACGCGCCGGGTGTGGATGAGTTTTAGGACTCTCGGGTTAGGATTAGGCTGGGCGAGCTCAGGTTGCGCCGGGCATGAACATGTTTATGAATGAAATGATGCTAATACATGTTAAGTTGAAGTTTTGGATCATGCATGTATGATATATGATGTATGGTGAGGTATGAATGAAATGATGCTAATGCATGTTAAGTTGAAGTTTTGGATCATGCATGTATGATATATGATGTATGGTGAGGTGTCATTCATATGTATGCATAGTGATGATATACATAAATGTTTAAATATGATATGACATGAGCATATGTTCATATGTGTATGATTATTGATCATAATGGTGAGTAGACCATGTATGATGTATGATGCATTATTGCATGTGATGTCTTATGACATGTGTATAATTATTGATCATAATGGTGGGTAAACCATGTATGATGTATGATGCATTATTGCATGTGATGTCTTATGACATGTGTATGATTGTTGATCATGATGGTGGGTAGACCATGTATGAGTATGATGCATAATTGCATGTGATGCCTTATAGCATGAGTCTAGCCTAGGACTTGAGGAGAGGAAAAATATTTTTGAACTGGAAGAGCTCACATAGAGTCTCTTGAGAGTGGTGCTTGGATAGGCCACTGATATATGAGAGTGGTGCTCAGGGAGGCCACTGGATTTGGGAGAGTGGTGCTCAGATAGGCCACTGGGTTGGGTGAGTCTCCTCTAAGTCCTTAGCTAGTGTTGGAGCGGGGTATGAGGTCGAGGGTTATTCCCTTAACCAAGTACTCGGGAAGGTGCGTGGATCCTTGCGGATAGTCGGTGGGCGAACTCCACAATTGACTTGGTTAATGCATGCCAAGGTCGTGGTAAGCCCGTACCCAGCTGTGCTATACCTGACGGTGGATCTGGACTTCCAAGTGTGTAAGTGACATCATCCGAGTAAACCCGAGTGAGGATTATATATCCTGTTTAGCTGTGACCGAGCGGGCGCATTGGGCGTGAAAACGGTTGGGGTGGTTTCGGTAGGATGGAATGTCACTTATACAGCTCTATTGTTATGGAGATCTCCTAGGTGTATGCGTGACGACGCATTAGATGATTGATATGCATTGATATCTGTCATGAGATGCATTTATTGCATGATTATTAATATGATGAAGTGTGGTGTTTGACTTCATGATTGATGGATTGTATTTTATGCATGAGTAGTATTGGATAGAGTGTGTGTGGTGTGACTCTATAAATATGATTGATAGTTGAATGATTGTGTAGTATAGATTATTGTTCTATACTTGTATGATTGGTTTTGAACTCTAGCTTACCCTTTTGTTTCCATGTGGTGGGACTGCGATGATCATACTTGGTATGGGAGCAGGTCAGGGATAGCTTGGAGTTGAGGTGACCGCTGCGAGACAGGGAGTTTGATCCTCGTGTTAGAGTTACCATTTTGGGTAACGATTTTGTTTGTACTTGACCGGAACTAGAGAATATTATTTTTTAGACGACTGTACATATATGGAGTTATATTTTGTATTTAAGAAACTTAGTTATTTTTATTCTTATCTATACCTGTATGTATGAGTTATCCAACTTAATATTTTTCTTAGTTCATTAGTAGTAGTGCGATTCCACTAAGTGTAGAGATCATGGCGGGTCGTTACAGCGATGATCATACCTTGTATGAGAGCAGGTCAGGGCTAGCTTGGAGTTGGGGTGACTGCTGCAAGACGGGGAGTTTGATCCTCGTGTTAGAGTTACCATTTTGGGTAACGATTTCATCTGTGCTTAACCGACACTAGAGTCATATTATTTTTGGGATGACTATATATATATGGTGTTCTATTTTATAACCAGAAACTTAGTTATTTTCATTCTTATTTATACATGTATGTATGAGTTATCCAGCTTAATATTTCTCTTAGTTCACTAACAGTAGTGCGATTCCATTAAATGTAGAAACCATGGCGGGTCGTTACAAATTTGATATACTATCTTTTTTTCACTATAATATTTCTATAAATAAACATTTATATTTAAATTATATATAAAGGGAGCATCAAATTATATTGATATATTATAACTATCAATTAAATGATATGTTTTCAAAACTTACTTTCAAACTGAAAGTATTTTTTATTTAAATTATATATACAAAATTTTATGTTAATATAAAATTATTAAATACATCATTAATATACATAAAAGTTGATGTAATATATTTTTTAAAATATACTAAAATAAATATTTTAATTACCTTTTTATTATTATTAAATTTAATAAATTTGAAATGATAATATAAAATTATAATTTAACTATTATATTTTCAAATTGTACTTTGTTTTATAAGCTTATTTTATATAAATATATAATTAATACATAATTAAACTTAAAAGCATTTATAATGTTATTATGTGCAAATTTTTTATATACTCAAAGATAAAGATTGAAACAATAAGTATTTGAGAAGAGTTTTAGAGGTAATTATCATAAGAATGTTTTCTATTTTGAGCATCAAAGAAAAAGAAGTTAAAGGAACTATCTAACAATTAAGGTCATGTACGTATCAAATTTATATTGAGTAACCATTATAGAATCTTCTCTTTAAATACTTCAACCGGGGAATGGATTAGAGATTAAAAACACTATACATAAATCTCCTTATACCATTATTCTACCAACTCTCTCATAGCTTTTGATTTTGAAAGATGTCTATATATAGTTTTGTACTAACTTTTTCTTTTCTTTTGATATAATAACATATTTTATTTTTTATTTATTTTCTTTATTTTATTTATTATTAGTGTCTTCTAATATGATTTATTTGATCAATTTATATGTTAATTACTTAACCATTTTAACATTCACTCTACACAATTCAAGTTTAACAATAATGATTAAGGAATATGTAGAAATCATAATTTACTAAAATATATTTAAGTTAAATTCATTGATTCGAATTTAAGAAACTCATTAAACAAAAATTACCAAAAATGCATACTCAATTTGCATATTGATAACATAATTTTTTATACTTAATTTGGCATAATAATTTTATAACATGGTATTAACAAGAGTATTCTCGAGACTTTAACTATATTAAAATTATCTTTTTAAAATCATTTATATAAAATCTTAAAATTTGAGAATCAATCAAATCAAAACACCAAATTGAGTTAATGAACGTTAAAATTATTAATTTTTATTTGTATGATTCACAAATAAAATATTTATGGAATTGAATCTCATGTAGAATTAGTTTTAATTTTTGCCCATTCCCAAATATGCCATAGTATATATTCATAAAGAAGTAGAAAAAATATATAGATAGAAAAACTAGCATCTAGATACAAGGTTTTTTTTCTTTCTTTTCTTTAATCAATGGAAAATAACATGATCCGTACATAAGTATTGATGATATTCTCAGTTTCTTACTTTTTTTTTCTTCATATAATATTTTTGTTTTTTAAAAATAGATGTTCGAAATTAAATAAATAAATAAAATAGTATTCACTTGTTAAAAATCGGATGGAAAAGAAAAATTCAAAAGTTTATCCCCACTCCATGTTCTATATTACCTTCAAGTCGAGGATGCTAGTTGAAAGAAATTTCATAGATGGTAGCTTTCTCTGCATGAGGTATTAACAGTCATCTCTGTTTTCAATTGCACGTTTCTTTATGCTTATGCTTATCCGTAGTTTTGATCCCTCGGCAGTGACATGTTTTTGTCCGCCGCAAAAAGTAATAGACTAGGTCACTAAGACAAACACAAACTTACGTGTCGGTAAGCAAGATAAGCTTGCTTGCTGTCGAAACCGGATTCAACTACACGATATCTACGTGTAACAAAACTCTTGTCCGAATCCAAATCCAAAGTTGAAACAAGAAAGTTCTAACACATGCAGAAGAAAATATTTGAGTACTCTCACCAAGTCCCTATAAATACAAGCACGCAGACCTAGCCATGATACAACATCACTTTCTCTATCTTATCCATAATATTCTTTGATACGCTTGATTGAACCTTTTTGCACCGCCATACCTTTCAAGACCTGCTTTCTCATTTTGTTTTCTTCTACCCTGTTCTGTCTTGTTGATTGTGAAAAGGGAAAGACGAAATGGCCAATCCTCTGAAACTCAAGTCATTGAATCATATCTCCATTGTGTGTGCATCAGTGGAGAAATCTGTTGATTTTTACGTAAACGTTCTTGGGTTTTCACCTATCAAGAGGCCTAGTTCGTTAGACTTCAATGGTGCATGGTATGTTCAATCATCTGTACTAATATTTGCATGTATTATTGCCAAATTTCATAGGAACATAATGACAATTAACATATAAGTCTCAAATCAAACTTGAGGAAGCATGTTGAAACATGCTTAGTTAAAACATGTAAAAACAGAAAGATCCCCTTATTGTTTTGCATTGAAATTGAATACTAATTGTCTTTTTGTTTGATGATGATCCTGGTAGGTTATTCAATTATGGAATTGGTATACACCTTCTCCAATCAGAAGACCCAGAAGGCATGCCCAAGAATGCTCCCATTAATCCTAAGGACAACCACATTTCTTTTCAAGTATTTTTCTCTCTTCCTGTATCTATGCAAATTATTTCAACTTGAATGCATATTCATAAATGTGTATTTATACTTAGAATTGTGCATTGTTGTAGTGTGAAAGTATAGCAGCTGTGGAGAAAAGACTGGAGCAAATGGAGATAGAGTACGTGAAGAGCAGAGTAGAGGAAAGTGGAATCTACGTTGATCAGCTATTCTTCCATGACCCTGATGGCATGATGATTGAAATCTGCAACTGTGACAACATCCCTGTGGTGCCTTTATCAGAGGGAAAAATATGGTCATGTTCACGCTTCAATTGCAATATTCAGAATCACCAACACCAAATTCAACAAATGATCCCAATGTAGTAATTAACAAGTTGCGATGTCATGCCTGCCCTCAATCCCCATGAATTCTTGCATAAAATGATTGTATCTAAACCATGTTGTATGTTAGCTATAGTAATGAATTTTTCTTATGAAAGTAAAATTAGTAAAACTCTTTTTTTCCATCTTTTATGGTGGACGCATTGCTATAGTAACAGCAACGCCAACACCTACCTTGCGTGTTCTTGACTGCATATGTACGTATGAATTGATGACACATTTACTACTCTAGTACTGTTGGGGGTTTGTTCCCGAAATTTGGGTTGGCTTACCTTTCGTGAGTGAGGGAGGTTGATTAACAAAAGTAATTCATGGATACCTTGGATTAATGTACTAATACAGAGAGAAAGAGGGAGAATTAATCTAGATTTGATAAGTAATGTAATATGGCAAGAAGAAAAGAGAAAGACAAAAAAAAAAGTGGGACAAGGTATTATGTTAATAGAGTATTTGTAGGTGTTCATATACGATTAAAACCATTTCTGCTGAGAGAAATAAAGTATAATATGGGGAAACTATGACAGAAGGCTAATAAATGGTTGATTTCTTGAAATACCAAATGGTTTACTTATTGAACAGCTAGGAATTTGGTGGCAAACACACAACACGCCTAATAAAGACCAAAATAAAATAAGTCGTGAGGGTCTATTGGAGAATGCTTCTCTTGTGTAAACGTGAAGTATTTGAAAATCAAGCAAATGGGGTACATCAACACGGGGAAACAATTGCTTTTAAGGACAGATCCTTTAATAGGTTTGGTCATGCAACTCGTGTACAGGTACGTGCAATAAAGAGTGAAAGGCAAGGGAAGAAATAATAATGTATCGGAATATAAAGTAATAAAACTAAAAGAAAAGCAAAATTAAAGTTTGAACGGTTACCTATCCATGAGCAAGTAAAGAAAAACAAGTCTTGAGAAATTTTCTGAAGTTAAATACTTTGATTGGTAAAACTTCCCTTTGGGATGGAATCTGCAACATGAAAAAGGAAATGATAAAATATTTTGATTCCACCTTTGAAAATCTTAGAATCACTGATAACATTTTCCTGAAACTTGAAGCAGGATCAAATACTGATGAAAAATATAGTGAACATGGGGAAAGTGAAGAACAAGGAGCTCCCTTCAGTCCAAAACACTGCATGAAATTCATGCAGTGCATGCAGGGTATTTTGGGCTGCAAGGGAACTCCCTTTTCTGCAACTTTCACGACTCAAAATGGAAATGAACGAGAGTGCAGATAAGAGGGGAAAGAGCTCCTTTATATGGACACTGTTTAGCTTTGACTCAATTAATGATCGGAATAATTTAGTTCAATTAAATTTCTTGCATGTGGATACTCATTTATAACTGAACCTACCGTGACTTGGCACAAGGTACCTCCTTTTTTACAGTTCCACCTTTACTTGTCCCTCATGCGTTAGTACCAATCCAGGATCAGAAATGGCATACATGTAAATGGTTTATGACTTGCGTTAGAACCAAGAATCCTTAGTTCTTATATAAGTTTATATGAGACTTATGTAATAATTTGTTAGGTTGTTTGGTAATGAAAAAAAAAATATAAATATTAATACTGTAAATAAAAATGAGATGTGTAATAAATAAGATTATTTTTGTTTTTGTGTAAAACAAAAGAGAGTTTCTTTTTTCCTTTAATTCTTGTTCAAAGAATCAAAATTGGACGGAACATTACATAAGTGTATATAAGACTCATGTAATGCTTGCATTTCTTCCTTTCATACATATACTTTCAAGCGATGGCACCATGAAACAAAAAATGCATTAACGGTGATTTTGCATTCACACCATGATGGTATGATGGCTTTATTAACCATATAGAATGCATTTCGGTCCATGTCTATATTATTTACCAAAATTTTTCTCATGGTGTGAATTGTATAACAAAACAAATTTCCCATCCTTTACTAATCATTCTGTCAGTTCTCCACGTAAACAAACAAAGCATTCAGGGTGGAAAAGAGAATAAATTTACATTCACACCATGATGGAAATGGCATGATGCCTTTATTAACCACGATGCATTCCAGGTCCATGTCTGAAATTTTTAAAATTTTAAATCACAATTTTAAGAAATTTAGCGTATGTTTGGTACCGCGTTGAACTAAAAAATGATTAAAAAAAAATCGTGAAGCAACTTCTTACAATCAACATTTCGTAAATTATAAGCAGCTTTTTTCTTGCCATTAATTCCGGAACCAAACCAAACATATGGAATTTAACGTGCAGAATTACTAAAAAAAAAAGTTTCCACAATTTCATGCGTAACATTCGTCTTGTATAAAATGCTCTTGAACATAGATAATTGCTCGGTATATATGAATTATTTGGACGAAATTGTACAAAGAGGCATGTGTATTTTCCCTTTCATTTTACAAAACTTTGTTTTATCTTTATTTTATTAAATTAATTAATAAAAAAAACTCTCCAATTTGATTTTGCATATGTGAAAATTCATATCATATATTCTATTGTCTCAGAATATTTCGTACTCGTTATATAATATCTAAGTTATTAGTTTGAATATAGAAATTGTTAAATATTTACCATTGAGAGATTTAATATATGAAGATTGACATCATTAATACATAAATTGAATTTCATAACATAAAACCAATTATTTTGAGATTTTAAGGCAAAAATTATGGAAATCATAAAATTTATAAATCATAACTTCAATATAATTATAGAGAATTATAATTCTAAGAAAAGACATATTACACATTCTAAATGTTTTGGACATGAATAACAATTATGTTTTTCATATCAAAACATTTTGGTGCCTAGGTTCTAGTAAAAATCTTTCCAACGACCCTTTTTCTTGTTGAAATACAAGCTTACACCATGATGTATTGAAGTGAGATTGCTAATTCGGATAACTACTCTAGTGAGTTTCATTTGTACATTGATTGTTAGAGTGATGACAAAACTACTCAAACATATAATTAATGTAGCTAAGTATTTGATCTCTATCCTCCTTTTTCTCTTTTTTACTCTCAAAAATTTATTTTACAATCGGAACATTTATCATAAAAGCGTGAAGAATTATGTTCCATCATGTTAATTGATTAGACAATAATGTTGAATTATTTTGTTTATAACTGCTTAATGTCATACGTTTTGAATAAAATAATTAAGAACTTGACACAAGATATGGATAAACTGCCTTAAAGTAACGTTACTTCAACTTCTAAAGATTAGTAAATTGTTTTATGTGTAAAATAAAAAAATGTTTTCTAAACACAAATGTGAAAGAATGCTCCTTTTTCATATACTAGGTCTTAAAATACTTTTTTTTTATATAAAAAAAACGTGGTTAGAATTAGTCAGGTTTTCAGATGAAAACTTGTCATTAATAAAGTTGGTGAGTATTTCGTATTATATGATTATTTAAAAAAAATATACGTTTTTTTTATATCTGAAACTATTATTTTTCTGCCGCAACATGTAATTCTATTCGGAATAAATAAGAATCATAAGATAGTGTATCGTACAGTTTTTAGATTTTAATTCATATAAATATTATTATTTACCCATCTAACTTTAATTTTGCTGCATATGTGTACGACGTGTGGTAATTTCGTCAAATAATATCTGTGGGTTTCAACTTTTTGAATTTTTTTAATAAATGATAAATGGAATTTGATGCTACACCAGCCACTAGCTTCAATATTTCTTTTATTACAATTGAATCGACAATCGATTATTACTTGAAATTATCGCATTCAATTATTATGACTATTATTATTATTATTATTATTATTATTATTATATATCATAATTTTATATTATATATTCAGTTTAATTTTATAATTAAATTTTATATATATTTATAAAGTGATATTTTTATTTGTGCTTTGTCAACTTATTAATAATTTTATTTATTTATTTTGTTGATTTTTATATTTATATAAAATGTTTAATGTGTGGTTTGTTACAGGAAATTATAGAATAAAATAATTGACAAAAATATAAACAATTATTTTTTTTTATAACGTGTGTTGTACATATACAGTATATATTAGTACAAAAACCTAACTGCATTAACTACCTTTGTTATCATACAATTTTAGGATATCAAATCGGAAAAATTGCATAATAAGTATATTATATTAATTTTGTATAAATTCTATAACTTTAATTATTAGTTTATTATTATTGTTATAATTTTTTGGTTGTTTGTTTGGTTCATTTCAAATTAAATAATAGACATAAAGATAAGATATGTGAAATTCTAACATAATTTGACACAACTAAAAATCGACTTAGAATGATATAAGACTAATTTTAATCGACCATAAAATATTGATTTGGGAAGATATGAGTAAGACCGATTTGCAATCGATCGCCACACACAACAATTGATTCGGAAAGATGTGAGTGAGACTGACTTGCAATCAGTTACTAGACATAAAAATTGGAAAAAATGTGAGTAAGACCATCTTGATCTTGCAATCGATCACCATGCACAAAAAATCGACCCAAGAAGATGTGATTAGAACTAACTACAACACACAAAAATTGACTAGGAAAGACATGAGTAAGACTGACTTGTAAATGATCATCGCACACAAAATCGATTCAAAAAATACATAAAAAATCAACTACAAAAAAAAGTGAGTAGGGTTGACTTACGACTAGTCACCACATACAAAAATTGACTCAAAAAGACGTGAATATGATTGACTTACAACCGACTATCAGGCACAAGAAATTGACTCGAAAAGATGTGAGTAGGACCAGACTAGCCATCACGCACAAAAAATTAATTCAGAAAGACATGAGTAAGACTGACTTGCAATTGGTCATCACACACAAAAAATTAACTCAAAAAGACGTGAGTAAGACCGACTTGCAACCAACCACCTCATACAAAATATCAACTCAAAAAGATGTGAGTATAATCGACCATCACACACAAAAAATTGACTCGAAAATACATGAATAGAATTTACTTGCAATCGACTACCACACAAAATATCAACCTAAAAATACGTGAGTAGGATTAACTAACAACCAGCCATCATGCCATGCACAAAAAATCATGTATTAAGGTTGAGGATAAATGAATTGTTTCAAGATTATTCTAAGAGGCCTCAACTAATCAACAAAAATATGGAGGATTGCTTACCACCTTCACGCATCTCTTGCTTAAGGTTGGAGGACAAGTATATTGTCTTTGGAAATAATTTTAGAGGTCTATGTAA